ACAGGATATTATCCCGCGAAAGTACGAGGAGTTCCGAGAGGCAATCACAGCGAGGAGCAACACGGTCACAGCCGCCAGAAGCCGGAGGGACTGCTGGCAAAAAATTGCCGATTGTGTTAATGCGTAAGTCACTACTATGAAGATATTAATGTGTCATCACGATGGCACGGATAGATGTCGCTACATTTGTGCGTTCATTAATTTATGGTCCCCAAATGTTTTGTCATTCAGTGTTTGATCACCATCATCATCATCAACCTCATGATTTCAGATGCAGCAGCAGTAGGGAAAAAAGAACGTGGGAGCAAATCCGAAATAAATCCTTCAGAGTGGTTAGTAGGTTTATTGGCAGATTGTATTCGTACATACAGTATTTCATCATGTACACAGCGATTTCCTCACAATGTCTCAGCTGTAGGATGATGATAAACGAGGTCGTGTGATATTATTTGCAGCCCATAAGAAAAAATGTGCGGCCGAAAAAACGGGGGAGGGCCAGCTCCAGAGGACTTCACTCCGGCTGAGGAGATGGCCCTCTCCTTAAACAGGGGTCGCCCATCCACTGAGGGCATCGAGGGTGGTGTGACTTCTGACCCTGGTGGAGGTAGCAGCTCGCAGAGCTCCTGCTTTGTACAGGGTACGTTTCAGTGAGGCAAAGGCAAACCACTGACTTGCTCAAAAAGCACAGAGTTGTTTGTGAAAAGGTGACTGCTATTGTTCTAAGGTTTCTCCCCAGTGGACAGTGACACACTGGCTGTCACGCTGCTACCTCAACCCAAGCAAACATTGCCCAGTACAGAGGTAACTGCAAATTCAACCAGCCATTCACATAATTCACCTGTGGCTGCTGATGATTCCTTCACCCAACAAAACCTTTGTCATCATTGATGTAGGCGGCGGTCATTGATGATGAGACTCTCTCAGCCTGCTCAGAGAGACCATGGCCGGTACAACTTAGTCATTGTTCTTTTCTAAAGTGGTTCTCACAGTGGTGGGGAGATTGTGGCAGTTATTTATCAATGGCAAATTCCACAGGTGATGGTGTCTGCTGCTGGGAATAGTAAGTGTGCTCACATGCTCTCTCATCCTGTTACTCAATGTTAATTGTTCTTCTTTTACAGGAAGAGGCAAACCCAGCTGCCCCCGAGCCAGTGGCCTGCACCTCTAGACCAGCCAAGACAAGGAAATCACAAAATGTAATCCATTTTCACATGAACCAAAGTTTTATAGGGACATTTTCAAGCACACAATGTAAAGAGGGAAATGCTTGAACATTGAAGCAACTGCATGTGTTTGATTTCAGCCCGGGTCCGACACAGTGAGGGCGCTATACAAAAGACAGCTGGAAGAGGACATTGAGTGCAAAGCACTCCAAAAGAAAGTGTTCAAGCTCCAAATCAAAAAATTGACACTAGAGGTGGAAAAACTGGAGTATTACAAACAGGTAATGCAATTTCTTGTATAAAGAGAAGCAATGGCAATTTCACATGTGATCATCCTCCAAGGAAATTAGGTTACATCTGCCCTGCAGTGGGCTGCGCTCATGCTCACAGAGTACAGTTGTGGAATAAACTAATGTTTTTCCTTTTTCTTGCAAGAACGTAAAAAAAAAGACTTTCCCAGTAAAATCAAAATACAAACCAAAATCACGCTTCTCGTGCCTATGTGAAAAATTGTTCGGTTATGGCCAGCCGTATGGCTGCTATATTGTGCAGCACCACACAAGCCGCAATCACCCTGCAGGCCCTCTCTGGAGCCATCCTGAGCCCACGGAGACAGGTGAAGCGGGCCTTGATGACCCCAAAGGTCATCTCTATCCTGACCCTGGTTTTAGCCAGGGCCACATTAAACAAAGTTTGCGGCCCGGCACCAGGGTCAGGATAGGGGGTCAGCAGGTAGGGCTGGCAGGCGTACCCTCTGTCTCCCAGCAGCACTCCACTGAAGAGCCCTGCAGATAAAGAGGAGGAGCTGAAAATGTGGTTGACATCAAAGAACAGATTCAGTGAACAGTTGTTTTACCCTGCTCGAGTTTCCTGCACAGCTGTGACTCTCTGAAGATGCAGGAGTCATGCACAGAACCTGGCCACTTTGCCTCAAGGCTAGTGACCATCATTTGATGGTCACATGTCATCTGCAGACACATTTGGTGTTAACAGGAGTTTTCTAATCTTCTTAAATACATTCTAAATGACTGTTATGCCACATGAAACTGGAACTTATATTAGTATATTACAAATATTAGTGCATTGCTTAGACTTCACGCTACCTGAATATTGAGGCTGTGGAAGTTTTTTCTGTTTACATAGTCTGCCTCACTTGGTCCCAGACTGGCTGTAATGGGGATGTGCGTGCAGTCTATGGCCCCCATCACTCTGGGGAAGCCTGAGAAAAGAGAATAAGCTTTGAATATCCAAATACATACATAGAAAAGTATAATATGTGGACTTGCCATTTATGGACCTACCTGCCAGTGCATAAAACCCCTCTTTGATGGCATGCAGAGGCAGATGTCCGAGGAAAACGACACATATGTCCAGCAGATCCGTCAGTGCCCTCGCCACTTTGTGGATCGCTTTGCAGCAGGTGTTTTTGCTGAGGTTCTCTGCATCTCCCACAGCATACATGAAAGTGCCTGTGTGTTTGGAGGAAATGGATGAGTGGGGGAATAAAGGAGACTCATATAAATTCTTTTGTCATCTTTTCTTGCGAGCCGTGCTTTTTTAGTTGTAATTGGACAAGTAAATCCGTATGAATACTCACCGGTGGAAAAGAACCTCAGCGCGAGGCAGACTGTCTGCGGGAGCGTGAGCACCCGACTGCGGTGAGTGACGTTCGCCACGTAAGGCTCCAACAGCTCACTAATATATAGCAGCCCCTCAAAAGAAAATCTGTAACGCTCGAACAGAACGTCATCTGGTAAATCAAATGGGTTAGACCGGTCACGAAAATAGCACTCTAGACAAAGTGCTCCTCTCACAATCAGAGCACCAACGTCCACGGGATCCGGCAAAAGTGGGCAGGCCATTTTCCAAGAGAATCGATTGGTCAGTGGGCGGTCTTTTATACCCGCTGAGCTCTTATCCTCAAACATAACCTGCTCCGGAGCAGGTTTGGTGTTCCGCGTAAGTTACTGGGGCAACGGACCTGGATAAAAAGAGATCCACCTTCGTAGTATGGAAAACCCAGAAGTTATCCTGAAGTTATCTCGCTAAGACCAAATCCAGCTTCGTAGTACAGGCCTCTGGTCAACAGCAACCCTAACAAGCCAAGTGCCATAATTTCTGCCAGAGCATTTTATTATTTACTTAATTGAATTTTATTCTCAAAATTGTGTTGAAATAAAGGTTCCTGACAAAGTCAAAAGTTTTTATGCAAAAAAAAAAAAAGTAAAATAAATTATGGGTTTCCTTTTACACATTTAAAAACAAAAACATGTAGGTGCCGACCCTAACACGGGAGGAGGGTTACAAATAGGAAATAAGTTGTTTCCCATATGTATTTTAAACATGTTCAATGTTAGTTATGTTGATTACTCAGTGCTGTGACTGTGGCCTGGTGGGGCGCAGGACAGCGACACTCTGCAACATGTTACACTTATTTGGAGCATAAAGCAGTGAGAAACGGCTGGTTTATCTTTAAGTATATAACGTTTTTACATCATTGCATGTTTACAGAGCTCTCGATGCCAGATCAAAAAAACTTGTAGATTCATGCACATGCATTCATAATCCATGCACACGGATTGTTATCCATACTCATGGATTTGCATGTTATTTCCTCTTTACCTTGGCACTTTGGGGATCCATCCACATTTTAACTATAGGCCTAATGAAAAGGGTCTTGGGTTATGGATTGATATAAAATGTGCTCAGTAAATAAATATTGATTGAAAATGATCTTTTTTGAGAAACTCACCTATTACTGTTTCCAGTCTTATGATCACAGTTACAGTAAAAACTACATCACCCCTGTGCTTGAATTCTCACCTTGCAATGAGAAGATTTCTTCATTTGTAAAAGATGCTGAGGACCATCTTTCCAAGTAGAATATAACTGTCTGTCCTGGTATTTATGCTGCTACAGGACAGCATAAGATTGTACATGCCAAAAATTAAACTATGTTACATAACATTCAAATAGTAAAAAGCTATTCCAGTTGAAAAATGTGCTTTTGGCTCTCATTTAAATGACCTGCCCAGAACAACTGTTGAAACGCACAAAACAGTTGATGGTTGATAGGCTTATCAGTATGCAGCAGAAGTGCTTAAAAGAAAAAAAGAAAAAAAAAAAAAAAGGGGAGGGGGGGGGGGGTGTCTTTAGGATAGACTTTCTTCCAGTTTTCACCCTTTGCTGAGACCACAAAGCAAAAAAGAGACAGTATACAGATATACAATCATAAAATGAATGTTATTTCAAAAAATTTGAAGCAATGTATTTAATTAAAGTTCTCGATGAAAGTGCAGCAGCAATTCAGTGATCAAACGATAGGACTGATCTTGGAAACTTGGAAAATCTCTTACTGCTTCAGTTGTGGGTGCAACATAAAAAAAATAACAACATGAAACTTTTAGAGGGCAAAAGACAGTTGTTTTTTTTTCCATCAATTTCAGTTGCTTTAGATATGAGAATGGGTCAGACAGAAAGAATAACAACCCACCTCATATCTTTCTGTCTTTTGTGCACTGACATGCATGCAGCCATTATTTTTTCTTCTCTCCATGGGTACTACACTTAGTGCTCAAGAGTTTGATTCACCTCCTGTAACATAGATCTGAGACCTGATCCTGCCCCTTCATTCCTACATTCTTAGTAACCAGAAGATGTATGAAACAACAAGCAGAGTGCATTTCAAGGTCCATTAACAAATGATTTGAATCCAAAGACCCAGACTCAGTACTGATAAGATAGAACCGATGGTAGAGGGTTGGTGTGGTGACTCAAATGCTGCATCCCGTTATCATAGACAGGATACTTGCTTTGTTGGGGAGGATACTGAGGTTGCTATTGGTTAGTTGAATATTGTCCAGTACTAGGATTATATACGTCTTGCATGGTGTGATAGACTGGATCTTGTTGGCCAAGGTTTGTTTGAACAGCACCAGCATTTACTCCCACTCCTGGAGCATAGTTCATTTGTCCATGTAAAGCATAAGAAGCCTGTGCTTGGTCCATTTCCAGTTGTAGTTGTTGAGGATTTGCTGAATATTGGCCTACCCCACCTTCCATGCCAGGAGTTTGGTGGTACACAGACATGTAGGGTGGTGGATTGCTGTTGAGTGGTTCAACCGTCTTCTTTCCAGAATAATAGTTTGGAGTTGGGGCTGTGAAAGACTCATGCTGTCCACCATTCTGTTCAGCCACATCTTCCACGTGAATAAGGAGTTTAGTGTAATTGGGTTTATCAACCAGTTGCTTTCTGCCATTGTACTGACCGGGGGCTCCTGTTTGGGTTTGATAAATAGGTATTGGAGCCTGGTAATTTGTGTGGTCTAAAGTAGTGGGAATCTTGGGCAACACCTCTTGTCCACTGTGACCTATGCTGTACTGGTATGAGTAATCTGTCTGCCCCACTGGCTCCATATTGCCTTTACCATAATAATTACTGGTAGCAGCTTCCATGGCATGATAGCCAGACGATGGAATATTGTAATGGGATTGCTCAACCATGGGAGATGAAGAGTGCACTAGATTAGGACGTGAAGTCTGTACAGCCTGTTCTAAGGATGTTTCAAGCTGGCTATAGCTGTACTGCTCAGAGGGAAAGGTAGGCTGAAGAGTGACTGTCTGCAAAGTTTGAGGTTGGGCATGATTGTTGCCACTGGGTATTTGACTAATGCTGTAATGTCCACTTGAAAAACTTTCATACTGCAGTGGAGACAGAAGGCCCTGTGCTGTGTCAAGTGTTGGTATTTGCCCAATTTGACTGCTCCCATGGTCATATTGTGTAGATTTTATTTGGGAATTGTGGTAATCACCGAAAATATTGTCAGGTTGTTGAGGATACTGCAGGGTGGGTAAAGCTGACTGACTAATTGGTTCACTTAAAGATGAAAGCTTGTTAGGCTCAGGTAGAAAGGTCACCAACTTGCTGTCGATAGGATTTGTGTGTAATGGCTGACTGGGAGAGTATCCTGTTTGTTGCTGGACAGAATTAGCATGATTTAAGAGAACCCAGTCTGATTCACCATACACTGAACTGGGTTGGAAATTTGGCTCCATGTACTCTGGACTTTGTGAATTTTCTAAATAGCCAACTTCATCACTGGATGGTTTTAAAGATGGAGTAGGAGGGGTAATAGGAACTGACAAACTGAACAGAAAACTTGGCATAGAAACTTCATGAGGACTCTCTCCTCCATTTGGGTTTTTTGTGGAACCTTTCCCCGAAACATCATCTGAACCAGAGGGACTATTAAAACTGCTGAAGATCTGAACACCAGTGGGTCTGTACAGCTGGCCATCTTTCACTTCGCTGCTCAAACCAGCACCTTTAGTTTGTAAATCTTTGTCTTTGCTTGGATTAGGGAGGTTGGCAAAAGGTAGTTTAAGGTTTAACTCAAAGCTCCGGGGCTCGAACAATGAGCGGCCATTCTGTTGTGTAAGTGGGGATGTTTCCTCAGACCATGGCTGGTGCAGGTTTTGGGTTTGGTAAGATAGATGGGCTTGATTTTGTATTGGGGCAAAGCTTCGAGCCATTAAAGAATTTTCCTCTGGAATTTCCGAGGGTTTGACCTGATCTTCGCTAATACTTTGTGTTTTGTTGGCCTGCCGCAGAGCCCTGATGTACTGAAGAGGGCGACGATTCCCGTAACCATATCTCTCTTGCTGTTTCACCCCTTCCCTCTGCAAGGATTTAGGATACATGGAACTTCTTCCTGTAAGAAAACAAAGAAAAGATTAAAGCCAAAGTTAAAAACGATGTTTCCCCCCCTACTTTTTGACACTTTTAAAAGCAAATATATTCCTTTTAGCAGGTGAAACACAAACTATGAAAATGCATGTATTCAAACTTTGCAGTCAGCCCTATCTGTACCTTTGTCCTAAAACTTGCATGAACTACATTTTGACAGTGTGTAACCATAGAAAACCAGCCTTATACACAACGAGTTAACGAGTCTCTGAATTGTCTGTGGCACACTGGGTAAACAGAAGGCACAGGATGGAATTAGACACATTTCATATCCTATATAAAAAGGAACAGGCACCAGGAATGAGTGTGTGGTATGTCTTATTATTTGTGCTTCTTTTCATAAAAGTTATTGGATACCCATCTGATCTGATTCCTCTCATTGAGAGAGCAAATAACCAGCAGTGCAGGACGAAAACAGTCATGGGCAGTGGGTCTGGCCTGTAGCCAAAATGGACTTGTGGGATAAAAGGCTAATGTACTTGCAGGATATGTCCATACCTTTCCATTACACACTCCACCTCCACTGAGCTCTACTGCCATACTGGTAGCTAGCACAATAAGAGCAGGTGGATTCCAAAAGGTTTTGAACAGCAGTTACACAGAAAATGTGTGTCCCAGACTTTGTTGTAGGAATTTTCTCATGATAAAACCACTTAAACCTTATTGTCTCTTATATATCAGTGCAGTTTATAATCTGTCTTTAAAAGTCATTAAAGAGTGAGGATTTAGTGTTTCTTTAAAGCCTGTATAACTTTGATAAAGTTAAAAAACAAAAACATAGGACAATGGAATTAAAAAATTAGCTAAGATTTCTGGCACCCCTAATTGCAGTTTATCGCTGGAAGAAACCAACTTTTGAATTCTAACTAAGAACTTTTAATAAAAAATAAATAAAATCACACTTAAATTTAAAGCCACTTTTTTTCCCCCAAACTGGGTGAACAATACAAACACCTCCTGAAAAACTCAGTTTGACACTGCCTGCTGATGCCTTATCTTTGGGGCAGTATAAAGTTACCTCAACCCATTCATATCAACTGCATTAAATTAGTCCCCACTTATTCTGTTCTTCCCTTAAATTCAGGGGGTTCTCGTCATAGATCATTCAGCTTTCAAAATTGTGTAACTGTGATATCATAACATGCCAAACGTGGCAAGCACTACTGCTCTATTTATTCAACACAACCTAAAAGGTTTACCTGCTCATAAGTTTGAGTGCCCAAACCAAAGAAAAAGAAAAACAAGTGTGTACTCTGCATTACGGATCCTTATGGAAGCGTACTGTGGTTCTGATTTAAACAGCCAACTGTTCATAATGAAATCCGCCTAAAGCAGCTGTTTTTCCTAGTGTTTTTTGTCTTTGTTTATCCTGAGTCAGTGTTACTTTTGAAGCTGTGTTTTGTGTGTTTTTAAAACTAAAGAATTGGGAAATTTTGAAAAATGAATGTCCCAAAAGCATTTCAGTAGACAGAGCTGAAACACTGCTTTGACTCAGGCTCCTGCCCAGACACAGTTATGATTCAAGGTCTGACTTGCTGAAAGTTAGTCGAGGAAAAGATACTATGAAATTCAAACTTAACAAAGTTCCACACCGTCTAACAGCTGTAAAGAAAAAGAATACATTTACATGCAGTCATTAACCTTTTCATAACCAGAATATTAGGAATAACCTGGTTGCACACAGCCATGTAAACATCAATAATCCTTAAAAAAACAGAACATGCTCATATTCTGGTTTTTAAAACCCGGAAATCACTCCAGGGTTACTCCTTTTCTAACCCGCATAATTGGTCATGTATACACCTACTAGGTAATCCTCATCAAAAGGAACATTAGTTTGTGTTCTGCGCATCTTCTGTTCGCAAGGAATCTTGGTCTTCAGAGTACAGGAAGAAGAAATGGAAATGATGCCCATTGCATCATGACGTTCTCCGTGCGTCCAATTGTTGTTGCTGTTTTGATCTGGGTACCATGTAAACAGGAATAATCCTGTTTGCTCATGTATGTGAACAGTTTATTCTGAACTTTTCAGAAACCAGGATATTGACCCTAACCCAAATACTGACTGCATGTAAATATAGCCATAGTGTATGAAACTGCATGCAGACTGTCAGTTTACTAACGCAGATTTTTTTGTGGGAACAGATGTTTTTTGAAAAACATCTTGAGGAAAAGCTGCTATTTATTGTCTTTTGATGTTAAAAGCTGTGTACAGCAGGTTATGTAGAGGTCATAGAATAAGAGAAAAAAAATTTGCACAGATATGGAAATCTGGCAAGGGACTGGATCAAAACAGACAAGCAGTGAGGGATGAATCAAATAAAAATGAGTGGGTAAATGCTTTAAAGAAAGTCTTATAAGATTACCAGGAGTAACAGCTTTTCCACCAGGTTAACTGAATCCGGTTGAATCATTGTCAGTATAAAAATATTGACAACGATAGCCATGTTTGACACTCTTCCAATAGTCCTGTTGATGTTACACAAAAACAAGGCTTTAAAGTTTCACCAGGAACTAAGCATAAAGTTTGCTCGCCATTTAATATCAGAGCCAGAGAGGGCCCGCTGGAAATGTGTACACGTGTTATTTGGTTTTTCATGCTGTTATATTTTTACAGAGCTCTCAGCTGTCACTAAACACTTTTTCAAGTACAAGTCAGACCTTTTCACTCACAACTTACAAGGATAAATTAAACAACTGTGGGCTTCGTCTTTGACTTAGACAGATCATCTGTCAGGTCAAAGGTCACAGATAGGTTTGCAAGGCTGACAGGGAAATCTTATATTTTCTAGATATAAATGTCATAGTTTCAAATCATAAAAGACGTGTACAACACAATAGCCCACCAGAAGTGTGAAATTCACTCTAACAAGTAAAACACAGTAATGTAGACTTACCTCTTGGAAAAGCGGAGGAGTAGTTCAGCTCTCTTAGCAAGAAAACCAATATCAGTCTGAGAAAGAAAGACAGAAAGAACAAGACTTAGCAGCAAATATCTAAGACGGCTGAGAATGGGGAATTCAACAGTCAGAACTAGACTCAAAAGACCTGAACATCGGGAACTATAGCTGACAGTAACTGACCTTGTAATCAGAATCTTATGGCCCATGACTGCTACAGCTGCTCCACCACTCTGTCCTGAAAATGCCCTGTCACCGGGGCTCAGCTGGACTTTGCCTGCGAGCCAAACTATTAGGTCTGGATCCAGAGGAGCTGCTCTCTCTCAGAGACAGGTTGTGTTTTAATTCTGCTGAGCAAAACACCTGTGGAGCTGAGGCACTCAGAGTGACAGATACTGACACTCTGCTTCACACAGGTGTGACCACTTGATGTGATTATCCTGGCAATGTGATTCCCTGGAGAGGGGGAGATATTTGGGAATACATGTCCACTTTTTTTTTTAATTAGGTTCCTGTTATGGATGAATACTGATTTATTTTACATGCCTTTGTTAGTCAGTTTGTTTAATGTTAAGATGGAATTTTTTATACAGTCATGCTTACATATTCTGCATATTAACTCTGAACCTACTGTTCAATTTTAGATAAAGTTATTTTTTTTCCTCAACGAGATGATAAAATCCATCATGTTTAGAGAAGAAGTAAGTTAGTATGTTTGCAGGATTGTTGTTTTTTTAAAGGATTTATTCTTTGGGTGCACATCTACAAGTTCTTCTAGGAACAAGTCTTCTTTCATCACAAAGTTTAGCATAAGTTCAAGCAGAAAGACTGTTTCATACCAAGTCATTCATTCATTTATTCCTTCTTAAGGCAATTCTTAAGGTAATTCAAAGTTACTCAATCTCCTTTCCCATTTCTGTACCTCTCTCTTACTTTCAGTATATATATATATATATATATATATATATATATAGGCTCTTTGTGATGAGCCTTATTGTCATCAGTGATGAAGGCTTTGTCCTTGACATACAGTATGTGGAAAATCTACAGTATGTGTTTTAATCAAAAAATACCACAGGACTTGAAGCCTGAAAGCTTTTATTTGAAGACCCTCTGATGAGCTTTGTGATGTCTGTATGTCTGTAAGAGAGTTGAAAACATTATTCAGACCAGCGGCAGTGTACTGTCAGCTCTATTATTTCCATGTCATTCTCAGATTGACAGGTTAGTATGCCTGTGACTGCCAGCATTTTAGAAGAATTTTGAGACCTCATAACAGTCTTCACAGCTACCGGTCATGCCTTGAGATGTCATAAAATAACATTTGCATGCTTGCTGGTTGAACAGGCTGTTTGGTAAAACAGTCACAAAATGATGAGCCAGTGGAGCATTAAAGATTGAACCTCTGGTCAGGCTTTTCTACCCCAGTGAGCTGAGCACTTCCCTGTCTTGCCTAATGAAGATTGATCTCCTCAAGGTGTTCACTTGTTTATTTCTATTTATTTATTTAATTGTCTGTTTGTTTACTCCCAAGGGTACGAGGCAGAGGGTGTGGGGGTGACTGACTTGATTAAAGAGGTTGATTTGAACATACACCGAGTTGTTTTCATAGCTGCAGGTGAAGCCAGAAGTTCAGTCCCCTCAGGAAAACAACAGTGAGAAACAGCAGAAATGGGTTTTGATAGAACTAGCCGTACAAACTCTGCAATGTTTTTGTATAATCTGAGTCAGATTAATGGTAGTGAGGAGGAGGTGAGGGCACATCCTAACTTGAGAAAAACAAAAACAAATAGACCAAATGAATTAAACTATCACTCCATGGTGCAGTCGTAACAACATGCTCATTTATTGCGGAAGAAAACAAATGGAGTAGCTTTTGAATACTTCCTTTATGAGTTTAAGACAAACTTGCCTGATACAAAGTGATGGAGTAATCTTGATTTGTAGCTACATGAAAGTATGATCTGTAACACAGCACAACAAAACTAGATTCTTTTCACTGTTAGAGACCAAACTTACATGTGTTTTTGTCCCATGGCGCCTACTCAAAGTGGTTTCCATGATCCGGTGGTTGTTGCTGACAAGGTTAATGTGTGTTGAAGTAATCACCAAATGAGAAACAAGGTGCTCTGAATGGCTCATTCAAAAGTGTTTTCAGCACAGAAAACACACATCTTTACGACAGCCCTGCTGTGGAATTAAACATATCTGCATATATGATTTGAAAAAAAGTGGAATACAAATTTTAAAAAATCTAAGTTTATTATTAGACTTATTGAACCATCTTTTTTGCACTAAAACTCAGTATGAAGAAATAACCAGTTTTGTCACTGATCAGTTAAAAACTCTTCATAATAGGCATACCTCTAACCATATTACATTGGGGCATGATGTTTATTTAAAATCTATTGTCTATTTGCTCCATAATAAATGTGTATGTAGATAAACATTCAATTCCCTTTTTCCCCCCCTCCTGTTTCAAAGAAATAGCCAGAGACAGACATGAAGCTCTCAGCTTTGAGGCATTGACAACATGTTTCATGACTGAGTGTCCTTTCATGCAGGGATAAATAGACGTAAAGGAGCTAATTTGCACCTTGAAGCAGTGCAGGTGAAACTAAAGCTCTTTACTTTCATCTTTATCTCTCTATCTGCTAAGTGGTGCTAAGCAGTCATTTGTTTGGCCTTTACTCCCCCTTGATTATGTATTCCCCTCCTCTCCTCTTCCTGATTGATTCCTCTATGCTTTGTGTCAGTCTGCTGTGGATGAATGATGTTGTTTGCCTCAGTGACAACACGTCAATACCTCATTTTGTTTCATTTTTCTCATGCTGTGTGTAGACAGTTGCCTTTATGGGATTTCTATTTGAATTTGTTGTACATTCACAAGGAAGGTCTCATTGACTCTTCAGCTGATTGCAGAACAGGCTGCAGCTTTATCTGTATGTGTAGAGTTATCATACATGGTACTGTAAAGAGGGACCGAGCGTGTGCTGTCAAGGCGTGGGCTCTTGCAGAAAGTTGTTTCACACTGAATGACTAATTAAGTCAGCAAAGTGTGAACTTGAAGACTGCAGAATATAAAGCTCTAACACTTTTAATGTCAAGTTTCCTCATGTAGAGGCTTGCACTGTTAGCAAACCCAGAAAAAAAAAGGAATCATGTCACAAGACCCCTGTCCAGGACTGAGACTGCAAAGAGATGATTGAGTAGAGCACAGAGAGGTGTTTTCAGAAAAGGGGAAATAACAGAGAAACCAAAGCTTTACCCTCTGTAGATAGGATACCACTACCTTGCACACGATATGCTTCCTTAAGTGAAAAGCAATTTAGTGGGTTAAAGGTTGATAGAATTAATTGCAATCTTATCTGTAATCAATATGACTCTATACATGGTGTTCTACCTACAGTGGTATAATAAGCAGTGTCAGATCAAAGTGCATGTGCTTATAAACGTGTTGCATTATCATATGTATTAAGAACATGTAAAACTTTATGATATAATATGATATAACTGAAAATGATAACGAGCACTGTGAAAAAAAACCAAAACACTTTTACTGATTTGTCTTATTCCTTGTTTAATCAACGGTAATGGGTAGAAATGACAGCCAGTGTAGCAAACCGACTCTTGATTTGTTTACTGGAGAGAAAAAAAGAAGAAGAAAAAAAAAACAATTACATCTTGTTTCTAAAAATGTATCAAGAAAAAATCTTTTTTTTAATTTAATCAATGAAGCTCTGATTATTAATTTTAAATATCTTGAAACACATTTGAATCCAGGCTTTTTTTAAGTGATGGATGCTTGGACTGGGTGTAAACTGAAAGGATTATTTCCATCAACTGGACCTTTACAGACCTTAAGTATTAGTGCGGCTGCACACAGAGCACACAGTGTTCTTGATAACATTTTACAGTTATTTATGGAGCTATACATTTCAGAGGAGACAGCAGCCTCCTGTTTCAAAAAGCTTTATCTGCCTATTGATTTATTTAGTATCAGTCTGACCCTTTTTTGTAAACGTAACAAAGGAGAAGAACTCATTTTTTCTTCCTGAATTGTAACTTGGAAACTTTGTGACCTTGGAAAGTCAAAAGAAGATACCAGATACTAAGTGCCACTAAAAAGGCAAAATACAATACCCATAAATACACTTTAGCCCTGAGTATGTGCATAAGATTTATGAATCAATATTCATGTCTGATGTCCCCCACTGTCTGGAAGAGAGAAATCAATAAAACATTTAGTCATTTAGAAATCTTACACTTCTATAAAACCTTTATAATACCTTATATTTTATCCTGCGTGTGTGTGTGTGTGTGTGTGGGGGGGGGGGGGGGGGGGGGGGCTGCGTCCATAATAAAAAAAACTGTTAGCTGAAACTGTATCTTGGCTGAATTTCATTAAATTTAGAATTGGGCTAATGAACATTTATTCAGTGTTGACAGCCCTCAGGCTGCACAGCTTCAGGGTGGACTTTAGAGTGGGCTTATAATTTTCACACAAAACTATGTCGTTTTCTTCCTCTCAATTACTGTCTGTATGAACCAAGATGCTCCATCTAAAGTTCTGTACAGGTTTGTAAAGTGTGATATAAGTCAGATGACAAGTGACAGTTGTTTTCTGAAGCAGCTGGAGAATGGGTCAAAGTTTGTGGAAGGTTCTTTATACACAAATCCTCCTGCTATCTTTAATTATTCAGTCACAAACTGCTTTATATCCACTGTCTCAGCTGTTGTTTCATATAGCAGCCACAAGGAGGCAGAGGATCAACACTGCAGAATTTTCCCAGCTGTGCACAGGAGAGCTAAATCTTCCAGTTTTCCCCTCTGTTCATCTACTGGAGCTAACTCAATGAGCCAGTTCTCCCCTCTGTCTTTCAGCTGTCAAAATGTTGTTGGGCTTCATGATGGAGTGAAACTGCTGCAAACAACTCAAAATTTTCATTTTTTTTTTTCTCTCATCTCATGTATTTCAATGGAGTAAAATAAATAAGCTCTCTGAAGTCAAAACAACAGGCCCCTATAATGTCATTGAGCCATTTGTGCATGCTGCAATCAGATCATATTTGTTGATGGGCAGTAAAAAGATCTTCCTGTCTGTGCAAAATTATGATTCAAAGATGAGTTAAAGTGAATATAAGGCTACAGCTGCCTGCATGAGCCAGATCAAGAGGATGTATTTCATTATTATAGTGTTCGTTAAACTCATTTACTCTGCTTCACATCCATTGCTTCAGTGAAGTAAAGAAAACCTGTCTTGGGAACATTAACAGGGAATTTAGCATAAAATGTTGTTAATGTTGCAAACAAGCCAGAACTGAATTACACAGTCTGCTGAAGCTTTCTATCGACTTAAACTGATCTCTGGAATACTTTCTTCAACAGAAAATCATAAATTTCCTCTAACTCCTTGAAAGTGCATTTTAAGTACCATCCTATGGTACATTAGCTATGACAATGTGCTTCCACTGCAGTCTAATCTGCAAGCAAACATGGTAAAGTGACCCCAGGGGTCAATACCAGCAGAATAAACCATTCCAAGAAGCTCAAATCCTCCCAATCACGCATCTGAAAGAGTCCTAATTTTTTTCTCTTATTGGTGGATTTGACTCTAATGCTGATCTGATACATCACATCTGAGATTTTGTACTGGAGAAAAGGTGAAAAATAACTAAAGAGCAACTCTTAAAAGTTCTACTTATGCTTTCATTAATGAGTTCAAATCTGGCAAGAGAAAAAAGGGCTTAAAACAATTTGCTGAGTTGTAATATTTTTTTCTTATAATCTGCTACTGAATATTTCTAAAGCATGAAATCAAATATGGAGACAGGAGGAGAGTTTGTCTATTAGTAAAAAGCATTTTTATTCAAAAAAAAATTTTCATTTGCATTTTGCCTCTATTTAGTAAGACGGTAGAAAAGGGAGAAGATATGTGGGGAGTAGAGAGTGGGGAAGACATTCAGTTAAAGGTCAAGACAGGGAGTGGAACCAGGAACTGATGTAACCCGAACTATAGTCTCTGTATATAGGGCAAGTATTTTTCAACGTTTATTTTATTTTGATTCAGACATATTTTGGCTGATAATTCTTAATGTCAAATTTGTACAATGGCCAACAAAAGTAGAGGGATCAACAACAATCCAAAAAACCTGTTGCAAATGTTTAAACAATGCAAAATAAAAACACATGTAGAAGTCTAAAATACACACAACAGTGGAAACAGACTGTAGATAAAAATCTGTGCTTCAAAAGCCAAATTAAGTACAGCAGTAAACAGTAAAATCAAAAACACCCCAATTTTTTTTTCGTACCTTGTTTGTGTAGATTATATTGCTGAATTTGACACGTATCATCAACTTGTGTTTGCCGCAGGGATTATTTTCTGCCATTATCTAAAGAACAGTGCAGGAAGCCAATTGGCTTTTTGACAAGAAATGTGGTTTTGCTCATTTCTTGGCTGGCCCACATACATACTTAATCCCTCAGGCAGTGTGGGCACATCAGTATTGGTGCTAAATAGACTTGGAAAAATGTGAACATATCCTTAAATAAAAATAAATCTGCAACATTTAAAACTTTCATAGTGTTGGATGGGGACAAAGTGAGCACAAGGAGATTTTTTTAGATCTCAGCTTTTTAATTAAAAATCATATGTGGCAAACAAGATTTGCCTGTTGAGCCATTTTAGAACTGCAGTGATTACTTATTTTTCATTTGTTTTTAGTCGGTTAGGACTGAGTAGAAACAGTGTTTTGTCATCCAGATAATTAACAAAATCTGTGAATGAGAGCAGGAAAAATATACAAATGTTGTTTCTGTTTTTGCGTTGAACACCTTATCACACTGCCGGTCCTTCAAGAATGATCCTGTCACTGAACAACTTGTGTCAGAAGAACGACTGTGTGGAAATGACAAGAAAGCATGTGTTTAAATCCTTGTAAAATTTTAATTACTGAACAGCAGGCAATGCTAATTAAGTCATCTGTCTGTTTGGAATGACATTGTGTTTCAGTTCAAGGCTAATGTTATACCGTCAAGGGTAATACTCTCCACAAGAGAAGTAGTCCTAGCCAAATTAAATAATATCACCTTAAAGCAATCACAGAATCAGTCAAAAAGAAGTTTTCAACAGAGTGTAGCTTTTTGTACCCGTGTGGTACAAAAAGCTAAACTCTGTGTGAAGAGCACAGGTTGATTATTAATAATAAAAACAAGATAAAACAAGGGTTTATGTGAACACTTATCCACCAACACCAACCCCCTGAAACATTTCTATGCTGTTAGGTTGTCAAATTATGGCTGATCACAATCACAACAATCAGAAGGACTAAGGGACAAAATGTTTTTTTTTTTTTCTCTTAGCTGTAGCATAGACTGTATGAAGAATGGACACTGTATGCCTCCTCGCTGGGTAAAGCCACCACAAGAACAGCATCCTCTGGTGACGGGCTGCACAATTAGTCATAAATCCCACCTACTACAGCAATCCCTACGAAGCTGTGGACAAGACACCCCCCCCCCCCCCCCCCCGACTGTTGTTTTTTTCTTTACTGAAGCCTTTGTAAGAGATGTTGGCATGTCTCAAGAATAACTAGAGCTAGAGATTTTAAAAAAAAAAAAAAAAAAAACCTGTGGCCAGGGTTTTGTCCAACTTCAGTTTTTATCTAGTGTTTTTTTCACCACTTCTTTTGGCCTGTAGTACATGACATGAAATGTAAACCTGAACTTGTCAGGTCAGTGTGGCTTATATCAATTGTAAGAAAACTCTTGGACCCTCAATGATTCAAATTCACCATGGGATTTGAGATTTTGCTGTCTAACAGTCACAGGAAACATGATGACACCTTAAAGGTTTTGAAACAGGCACCACTATGTCACCTTTTAATGAGTCCTGTTTTTTTTTCTTTCAGAGTGTTGTGAAACTGAATCATTTTTATGACAGAAATCTAAACCATGCTGGATGCTGTGCCCAAAATCCTCACTGTGATTGGCTAGTTGCCTTGTTAGAGGTGACATCCATTCATCTTCAGCCGCTTATCTGGAGTTGGGTCATGGGGGCAACAGCCTAAGGGAGGAAGCCCAGACTTCCCTCTCCCCAGCCACTTCTTCCAGCTCTCCCTAGGGGGACTCTGAGGTGTTCCCAGACCAGCTGAGAGACATAGCCTCACCCTAATCTCTAAGGGAGGGTCCAGCCACCCTGCAGACGAAACTCATTTTGGCTGCTTGTATCAGCAATGTTGTTCTATCTGTCACTACCCACAGCTCATGACCATAAGTAAGGATAGTGTCATAACCCGGATCTTGAGCCATGACAAAAAAATGGTTGGAAACCACAGTGCCAAGAGTAAATGAGATTTATTACAAATTAAGGTAAGTAAACGGAGAAACAATAGTTAAGCATGAGGTTTGTCGAATCTGCAGGATCAGTAGTGTGCATGTGAGTGTGTCAACAAGGTGTAGTGAGAGGTGTTGAAAAGTGAACTAACATAAATTCAAACTAATAGCTGGGCAGATAACTGTAATAATCGTTCACTTGCGGATAAAAGCACCAAAATTGGCACACATACTCCTTAGAAGTTGCTCTTTTGATATTTCCGTCTGGCCAAATGAAAATTCAAGATGGCGGCCATTTTTCAAGATGGCCACCATTGAAAATACAGTAATATTGCATTTTGCAATAAAATCCCATAGACTTGTCCTATTTGGATGAACTTGGTGTCAAATCATACATTTTCCATTATGCAGAATCCAAATTTGGACCCATGGACTTACTGGCTTCCTTGTACCATATTTCAGTCCTGGAATCCTAATATTCTGATCCTAATTACGTCTACATCATGTGAGACTCGAGTAAAATGGTTGGTAGCCTATATCGTAGTGTTGTTAGAGGTCTAGTGTGTGTGTGTGTGTGTGTGTGTGTGTGTGTGTGTGGTGTGGGGGGGGGGGGGGTTGCAAGGAGGGCAAGGGCGTGGGCAAGGGTGTGTCCTCACTGCACATATCAGTCCCAGAATCCTAATATTCTGATAATTTAGAATTTCACCTAAAATGCATGGTAGCACCATGGGAGTACAATACTCCAGCCGGCATAGCTCTAGGGGTCATGGAGACACACACCACGATAAGGTGGTGATCCTACCGAGGCAGGGTTTTTTTTTTGTTTGTTTCTTTTTTTACATGTAGGCTGTTTGGATGAGTAGGCTTTTACTACAGCGTTTCTAAACCTCACACCTGCAGCTGCACAGTGCTGTGCAGGTCGGACCAAAGCAGTAGTATTTGCATCGACCGCAGCATTCCAACTTGCATCCACACTTGGCCAGCTGCTGGCAACTCTCTGCAATGGGTGGGAGCTCTGTCCAAACAATCTGCCACAGATCTCCTTTCTTGGTCCAGCCCCAGTTGGCAAGACTATGTGTTTCTGGTTGACATACTATTGACTGACTCCAGATGCAGCCCGCTTGGTAGGATGGATGCATGACATATTGCTTAAGTGCTGATCGAGTTGGAGGAGTGACTTCATACGGCCTCTGCTTCCAAGCAAACATGTCCAACCTTGCATCGTCGACACCTTCAGCTGTGCTGGATCTGTCGTACAACATGACCACAAACTTCTCTAGGGTTTTCAGGTCCTCATCATCCAATACAGGTGGGTAATGGCTGAGTTTGCTGAAGACACTTGAAGCCTCATCACAAACATTCCCTTTGCCACGGAATGCTGAAACAACATCGCAACCAGTGAATGCATGGAAGAAGAGCATCCCTTTGCTCTTTTCTGCAAGAGTGCCACACAGGTCATGAACAGGAATCCACTTCAGGTTCTGTCTTTGGCCAAAGGCAACCCACAACTGCTGCAGACCGAGGTTCTGAAGTGCCTGCAGAACACTCACTGCAATGTCAACAACATCTGTGTCGTTGGCTTTGACCATGATGACCTTGCTGCCTGCTTCTGTGGCATGCCTGGCATGCACAAAGATCTGGGTGTCAGCTTCTTCATGACTGCATGGTGCCACCCCAGCCAGATTAATAGTAATGTTGTAAGAAAGTGTATGTGCGAGTGAGAAGTGTTGCCTAATAATTAAGTGAGATGTAATGCAGGCAGGTCAAGCATTTTTCTTTTTTGGATTTTTTTTACAGACTCACTCACTCACTCACTCACACACACTAAACCTCTAACAACGTTAAGATATATGTTACCAACAATTTTACCCAAGTCGGACACAATGTAAACCTCATAAATACCAGAATATTAGGATTCTGGGACTGAAATATGGTACAAGGAAGCCAGTAAGAAAGTCCATGGGTTCAAATTTGGATTCTGCATAGTGGAAAATGTATGATTTGACACCAAGATCATCCAAATAGGACAAGTCTATGGGATTTTATTGCAAAATGCAATATTACTGTATTTTCAATGGTGGCCATCTTGAAAAATGGCCGCCATCTTGAATTTTCATTTGGCCAGACGAAAATATCAAAAGAGCAACTTCTAAGGACTATGTGTGCCAATTTTGGTGCTTTTATCCGCAAGTGAACGATTCTCCTGTAATATGCTATTATCCGCCCCGATATAAATTAATAGTGTGAAGCTATTTGGGCACAAGGGAGCCAAATCGAGAGTCGAGAGAGAGAGAGAGAGAGCCAGGTCACCAGAGGCTGCTTTTATAACCGCTGTGGACTGGGTGCTCCACATTGATATAAGTTGATACTGCCAATCAGCTCTGCAGGCAACTTAGAAGAAATATACAAATCAGTGTGACCACCAACATAACACAAATGCAGGGGCCGTCACAGTAGGAATGTAAACCGACCGGTATTCTTGAGAGCTTCGCCTTTTTTTGCCCAGCCCCGTCTTTGCAGCTTCTGCATCCCTGCTGACGCTGCACCAATCCACCTGTAGATCTCTCGCTCAATTCCTTCCTCACTCGTGAACAACACCCCAAGATACTTTAACTCCTCCACTTGGGGTAGGATTTCATCTCCAACCGGGAGAGGTGTTAGAGGTGACGCTTCAATTCAAATCAGCTTTTCAGTTCATAGACTATTGCCCAAAATGTTCACTGACTGTGAAGCCAAAAAACATTAGCCTTCCCCTTCTGACTGGTTGTACTATCCAAGGCATGCTCCTACATGCCTCAGCTCTACCGGCCCAATTTATAAGCACCCATGAAGGCAGTCTTGGACTTCTAATCTCACTATGGGTGGAAATAAGGGCACTCTGTACATTAATGTATGCAGTCATTGATTTGTATTTGAGTTAATTTTAGAGTGTGAAAAAATTGTCAAGGCGCCCCTCTGACAAGCGTTAAACATACATTTTTTGAAACCAACAAAAGAGGTAAGAAACAGAAACTTTTAAAGAGCAATTGTCAAGGCGACACTCTGGTATGTTTTTACCAGAATAGTCAGCACTTCACCCTTGTTCTAAGATTTGATGTCTGAGACTTACTTCAGTATGTTAATTGATCCAAAGTTAGTCTTTTATGCAGAAAGCACACTGTCTAAATATAGATCTAAATTTCAAAGCATCAGTAGTGTCAGAGTTAGGCTGGTTAAGACACAACTTTCATAAATTGTGTTTCATTTACAGTGAAAGCTGTTTCTGGGTTACCTGTTTTCTTTTTTTTCCCCATCCAAATCACTTCCTTAATGGTGTTCTAATTACTTTGGTGAAATTTCAGTTTTATACCTTACAACCACACTTTCTTTCTGTCGGCTAACCTTGCAGGACAGTGTGGGTGTGTCAACACACTGTAACAGCTAGTCAACAAAGTGAGGACCCCAGGCCAACATCTCCTGCTATGCTAACACGGCTAACTACCTACCAAACAATTAACAGCCAGCTTTACACCTAATGCTAGTTAAAATGTTTGCCATGCTTCGCTATCTGCTCCACTTACCACTGTCTTGCTTTGTCCTTATTTCTTTCTCTTTTCTTCTCTTTCTTTTCTCACCCCTTGATAAGTAGCTCCACTTCGTGGCTGATTTTGACGTTACTTTGATTGACACACACTCATTGCAATTCGACCACTAGTTGTTTGTTGCAATATTTCAGGACATTTTTTTATACATTAGGCTACTTGTTACATGCTGTGTCCTACTATATGTGAGTTTATTCAGTAGCAATTTAGCAGAGTTCAAAAAAGTTATTTTCTCCAAGGTGCACTTGAACACAATACGCCCCTCCATCATGCCTGCCTATTGCCTGGTGAATCTCTCTCTTCTCATTATTGCTAAGTTTGTTTATCTGGGAAATAAATCTGTAAAAACATCGGGGAACAACTGGCGCCATGAAAGTGTATCCCTCTGAGGAAAATAATACAGATTTCTGTGGCATCATGCTCTCTCTCTTTCTACTCGCTGTCTGTGAAAAATTTGTGTTGAGCGTCTGTGAAAACGGAGTGGGTGGACTGAACCATTTTATGGAGGCGGGGGGCCTTGAGAAATGTTTTGCAAAACAAACTTAGTAATAAACTTACAGTTACACATATATTTTATATACAATGTATTGGTGACACTAAGTGCTATAATTTTTGTCAGTATAATAATTGTCTTAGGGGCCTCTCTGGGACCCTGTCAATCATGGGCCCCTAGAATCCTTCTCCTTTTACCCCCCTTTGCGGTGCCCCTGGCCATGGCCACAAACAGGATTAGAGCGAGTGATGCAAAAGTAAAGAGAAAAGAGCAGAGCAGCACTTCCTGCTATTGTTCCCATCGTAATGATTACGATGTATTTCCATCCCAACATCACTTTGTTTGGACTCTTTGCTTCACCCTTGGTCCTGTTCTGGTTCTTCCCTGCTGGGAGGAGACAAACAAAGTCTTGATTATGTTTCTGTGATCACTGCAGTTTCTCAGTTTGCTCTAGTAAAGTTTCTGACAGTAGTACAGGAGGCAGGACCTTCAGTAATCAGACCCTTCTCCTTTGAAGCCATCTACCAATCAGGGTCCAGGATCCAGAGACCCTCTCTACTTTTTAGAACCTTCATGTTAAAGCTCATAAAAGGTCTGCTAGGTTTGGAGCAGATCCAAAGAGAAACACAACCTGAACTGAATGTCTTTTTAAAATTCTGCTGAGACATAAACCAACTCACCAGTCACACTGACATGACATCTGTCCAAGCTGCTGCCATACTCTGTGAGGACATTACACTGATACCAGCCTGAGTCTTCAGTCCTGAGTGAGGAAACATGAAGTCTGATCCGTCCCTCTCTGAGGACCTCTTCGTCACACTGAACTCGTCCTACAAAGTCTCCCTCCTTCTGTGGGACCTCCACTCCTTTACGAAGATGAAACAGGACTGAGTCTTTCTGAGAGTTGACCTTGGAACAGAAAATGTCCAGATTCTGCAGAGAGCTTTCAGGTTTGTAGTTGAAAGTCCACTCCAGGGTGAGGTCCTGGTCCTCCATTGCCTGATAGGAAGTGTGAGCCACGTTAACTTCGAAGGTTTCTGTAGAGGAGACCGAGAAAAATAAAACCATTGTTTTCAATGAGGTAATTTTTCACTAGTTTGAAGTGGTTTCAAAGTGATCCAGTCTTGTCATTTTGGATTCTTTCTGAGTTGTTTTTCCTTGCTGAGTCCACTCTGAGGTAGGTTCGAGCCCAGGGAGGTCTTTGGTGTTTCTGGATCATGGTCACAAATAGTTTCTTATTTGAAGTGTACAGTTTCAACACAAGTGTACAGTGTTTTCATAGATAGAATGACAAACTCTGTTCACAATAAGGGTTTCTGTGGATAAATTTGACCCTGTGCAGCAACTCCCAGTACAGAGTCCTGTCTATTTTTCAATGCAGTGCAAGCCTTAAAGTACTATAAATGATGAAACTCACTCATTCTTTCACATTTGACACTGAAACAGTTAAATTGTTAGCTCACGCAGTCTCTCACAGACTGGTGAATCTCTAATGAAACAATCTTTTTTTTCCATATGTTGGTTTTGCTCTATAATCAACTTAAAATCTGTTTTAATGATTTGCAAACTATCCAATTCTGCACCCCAGTGCATCTCATTATCAAGGCCCTAAAGAAATTAGCCTATTTTAAAACGTGTCTCAGCTTTACTAAAAACTTGACTCTGTTCAAAATCCCTAAACAACAGCGATCAATCCGCGAGAAAAGTGGCGCCAAGGACAACCTGGTCACAAAAATCATATTATATACCTCAATATAACTGTTGCTTTTAAAATTCTTTTCTGAAGGAAGTATGAGAATAAAACAAAGATGGAAACTAACCACAGACACAGCAGCTCAGAGCCATGAGCAGCAAGAACCTGGAGACCATCTCCACCCTGTCAGAGGAGACACATGTGCATCAGGTCAAAGGTCATTTATCGTACCTGCAGTTCACACCAACATACATAAAGTTTAAATAAATAAATAAATAAAACACCTACCAAGTCAGCGCCATCTGGGACTTTATTGTTGATTTTGGCCTTGTTTGCTCAGCGTTTCCGACGGTTGTTAACATTAACTTCATAGCAAATCTTTAAAAATAGTCTAAATATGAAAGAATTCAAACAAACAATACTTGGCTGGTCTCCAGAGTGACAGAGCTTTAGTTCCTGGTGGAGCAAGACCCTTTACTTTAACACAAACCAGCAGCTGTTAACATCCACCCTCAGGTCCTTATCTGTTAAACACATGTGGTTCAGTGGGCCAGACTGTGGCAGCTCTCCGATGGGGACAAACTGATAAACTCATCATCATGGTAAACATGCCCGTGCCCTTCTTCAGACAGTTAGTTGCATCAAATTTAAGAATTTTTCAGCTTCGTTGTGAAATGACACTTTTTAAAATTAGATATATGATTTACAAACCATCAAATTCTGTTTGTAAAAATGTTTTTGCAATGTTCTCAGTTTTTTTTTTTTTTTTGTGATTTGTTTTGTATTTTTTTAATGGGGTCTTTATTTTTTAGCATGTGGAGCGAAATTAGGGGTTTGTACGGAAACCCCTAGTTGTAACGTTGAAACAGTCAGCATATGTTAAAAAGTGATATGTCAGTCAGGAACGAACCGGTTCAAAGAGCCGGCTCTTTTACCTGAACGATGGGAGCTGAATCCTGTCTGTGAGCCATTTTAAAAACAAAATTTCCTCATCGGATGATGGGTGCTCCATGTGTGCTGTGCATGACTGTCACGTGCATGCTGTGTGCAACCGCTCACGTGAGGAAACACCAAACAGAGAAGGGAGGGGGTACGCACTCATTAGATGGAAGCACAAAATGTATTTTTTACTTGTATTGAATTGTTTAAGAGGTATGTGTATACATATGTACATATTATGAACCAAACAACGCTAAATTTGACTGAATTAGAAAATGTATAAGTGGTCAAATGAAGAGCCGTTTGGGAGCTGAAAGAGTCGGCTCTTCTTGGTGAGCTGAGCTGAATGGTCTGGCTCACTAAAAAAGAGCCCGAATTCCCATCACTAGTGTTAAAGTGTCTGTGAACTGTGATGCAAAAGCTCAAAGACTTGAGACAGTATTTACAGCATCATTGATTGAATTAGTGCAAACATACGTGTAGACCTGATATTTCAGCTCCACCCAAATATTACACAGGGCAGATTTCACATCAGTCTTATTCCAAGCATCATGTCAGGACAGAGAGTGGAAAACAAAATTCAGCTCATAGAGACATGGAAATGTTATAAAATCTGAATTCACAGGTCAGCTTCATAAAAAAATGGGGTAGAAAGTGAACACAGTTCAGCTCTCTTTGGTTTAGGATAGAGTCAAGTGAGCAGGTGGTTATGCTTATCGGGACCATACTTTGTTCTCGTCTCCTGCAAATTTCTATACATTCAGATTCACTCTGTTAAATCCTGATAACAGAGCTGCTGTTACATGTAACCATGGTAAAGCTGTGTCTGAGATATGATGTCAATCACATGCAGAGCCAATTTAAGAGCGTGCTGAGGCCCCAAGCAAAAATTGTCAAGGCGCCACTCTGACAAGCTTTAAACATACATTTTTTGAAACCAACAAAAGAGGTAAGAAACAGAAACTTTTTAAAAACAATTATCATTATTACTACATAACTTAGAAATGTTGCTCTAAAACAGCTACAGCTCTGGTATGTTTTTACCACAATAGCCAGCACCTCACCCTTGTTCTAAGATTTGATGTCTGAGACTTTTTTGGTTTGTTAGATGCTCCAAAGCTGAAAATCTTTCATGCAGAAAGCACACTGTCTAAATTTAGATTGAATCATCAGTAGTGTCAGAGTTCAGCTGGTTAAAACACAACTTTCAGTAATTGCATTTCACTTACAGTGAAAGCTGTTGTCTGGGTTCCCTGTTTTTTTCTGTCCAAATTACTCCCTTACCGGTGTTCTAGTTACTTCGTTACTGTCGGCTAATGTCGCAAGATAGTGCTGGTGTGTCAACACACGGTAACAGCCAGTCAAAAAAATGGGAACTCCAGGCTAATGTCTCCCATTCCGCTAACACAGCTAACTATCTACCAAACAATTAACGGCCAGTCTTACACCTAATGTGCGCCGCTAACATGGTTAACCAACTACCAAACAATTAATGGCCAGCCTTACTCCTAATGCCAATGAAACAGGGATGATATGGGGCCCCTTAAAGGGGGGACCTACCTAAGATGTCATTGTAATTTCATCATTAGTTGTTTGTTGAAATATTTCAGTACATTTTTGTGGAGTAAGATTTGTCAGCCTTTGGGGGCCCCCTAGTGTCCTGGGGCCCAAGCAACTGCCCACCTTGCCTGTTAAAAGCTCTGGCTCTGATTTGGATCGTGTTGCTACAGGCTGCAAAAAATTCTCTTTACACGATAATGTTGCTCATTTTGAAAGAATTTTGTTCAGGTAAAAATTTTGTGAGCAATTTTTTAGTATGTTCAGTTGATCATCCTTTTGAATCCCAGAAGATCGAAGCCTTTAAACCTTTATATTGCCACGTTTTTTTGTTTTTTTTTTTGTGTGTGTGTTACATTTATAGTTTAAATATTACACACAGGAGTATATTGCACACACCCCAGCACACAGAGATAAATATCTGACATGATATAAGGCATCTTACGCCTCACCTGTGGCAGAGAGCTGTGTACATTATGACACAGCATACAGGCAAAAGTGCTGTTGAGGTATTAAGGCAAAGTGAAAGAAACCCCAAAGACCAGAAACTACACATGCATGAGATTAATGAGGGAGCAGAGCTGTAAAGCCTGACAGGAGGTAGACCTAAACCCAGAACTGGTTCAACAAAGACAGTAGAACTATAAAGACAAAAAGGTGGCAGTAGCTTGGGAGGTAGAGTGGTTGTCCAACAACTTGAAGGTTGGCGGTTCAATTCCCCCCTATCCCTGATCTGTCCATTGTGTCCTTGGGCTAGACACTTAACCCACCTTGGTCCCAGTGTGTGTATATGATTCGTATGTACTGCATGTTGCGTTGCTAAATGACTTTGTAACTTGTAAAAGAAATAGGGTTTGGTGAGTTTAATTCTACATGAGGAAAAGCAGGTTTGAGCTCATGTAGAGTGGGGAAAGTCTTAAAAAAATTAATATTTATAAGAAGAAAAAAAATCATAAATACATTTGTTTTAGAGTCTCCTAAGTCTCTTAACTTTACCAAACTGTAAATTCAGAAAGGCAACCCAAGTTTCAGTACAGATATCACCTGGTGCATCAGTACCCTTTGGATAGAGACCAGAGATAACAGACTTTCACACAGCACACCCTCTGCCTCCTGCTTTCTCCTTCACCACTGATGAGCTCCTCTTTGAAAAGTGAAAATCAAAGATCCCACAGTCTGTGATGTGAAATATAATCTATGACATCTTCCACAGGCAGCTGATTCACATGCGTAATGGTGTGTTTGCCTGATGCAGTTGTATGTAATTACAGGTGACATGCTGATATCAGATGGCAGAACATGAAAGTAGTGAAACAGAGACAGTGAGCCACACTTCCTTAACATATATAGGTAAAAAAAAACCCACCAACAACAAAAACAAACAAACAAAAAACATCAAGTTAATAGCTGAGGAGTTCAAGTTGAGACAGCAGGAGGTGCCATGCATCAGACACCTGCTGACAGTACAAGCTCTGAGAATCGACCCAGGACAGATAAGTGCTGTCAGTGAGCTGCCAAAACTATCAAATGTCAAAGGAGTGCATGGGGCTGTTTTTCAAAGTTGTATGATCACATCACATCACAGCTCTTGACAGCAGGACTCCGAGAAGACTCACACATAAAGTGAATCTGTAGGATTGGACTGAGATGCAAGAGAAATTATGTCTTTGGCTGAAAAAGCATGGCAGAGTCCCTAGATCTGAAGTGAGGCAGAATTAAGTGATTCTGTGGTTCAGTAAGTGATAAGAAAGTCTATTTGATATTATATGTGAGCCTTCCTACATCTGCGGAAATCTGTTAAAACATCAACCTAAATACATATCAGAAAACAGCTCATGTTGATTTCCAGCCTCTTTTTAAAAAGGAAAAGAAGTTGCTGGAAGCTGGAAAAGGTTGGGGGGAAAAAACATTAGCAATGGTAGGGGTTGTTATGCTTTGTTTTCTTTACCTTTTGTCCACAGATAGACCCCTATAAACAAGCTGAAATTGAAGCTCTCAAGATAAGACTAAAAGGCTCCCTTAAAGATTTAATTTAGGGGTGATAAAGTTAAATCAATGTGAAAAGAAAAAGTACAAACTTATTCACTCTCACTCTCTGGGACCAGTCTCATGAGGCTCCCACACCTGAACAACTTCAAATAATGTTGTATAAGGTCGTGAGATTTTCAAAACAAGCCAGTCTCACCATTTCAGTATTAATAGGTAGAAAGAAAACTCTCTCAAGGAAACTTTATAAAATTTCTGTTAGTTAAACATCAAAGAACAGACTGATGCGTTAGTTAAAAAAAGACTCTCAATTAACTCAGTGGAGAGTTGTTTGTATACTCTCATTTAAACTGGGAATTTATTTCTTAAAGGAGATAGTGTGCAATGAATCAAAGTTTGTAAACCATGTAATAAAAATCAATGCCACAATATGCAGCAGAAACTCTGGCAGAATTGTCAAGTCTAAACTACCTTTAGCATATATTGTCAGGATATGAGGGGGTTATTAAGCACCTAGTGTCTACCTACGAGGAGAAGGTATTAAAACAAAGTCAGTGTTGTCAGTCTTCCTGCTTTTCTTGAAGAAATGATCCCAGTGACTGATCCCTGCTGGTTTATTCAGTATTCAGGATCCTGGGATTTGATTGATTCAAAGCCTGACCCTCCATGAATAAGCTTCAACAAGAGTCATTTT